TCGACAAATAAAAAGTTAAAAGTTGAAAAATTGGAAAAGCGGAAAAATTAAAAAACGAAAAAATGGAAAACTGGAAAAACTGAGATGAATCCAAAACCTGAACAATCAAATCTCGATAAATCGGGATTGAAAAATTAAAAAATCAAAAAATTGAAAAACAGTACATCTAAAACCAGGAAGGCGAAAAATCGAAAGATTAAGAAATATTGAAAAATTAAAATATCAAAAGATTGAAAAATCTAAAATTTAAAAATCGAAAAAGTAATAAGGCAGACACATCGAAAAATCCAGAAGTCAAAAATAGAAAAGCCGAAGAATTGAATAGTTGAAAAATCCTAAAACTGAAATATCTAAAAACTGAAAAATCGAAAAATCAAAAAAGTGAAGTCGAAAAATAGAAACCTTAAAAAATCGAAAAACTGAAAAATCAAATCCTGAAAAATCAAAAAATTAAAGAATTGAAGAATAGGAAAATCGAAACACTCGAAAGTCAAGAAATGGGAAAATCAAAACATCGATTAATTGAAAAATCTATAAATTGAGAGTTTTTAAGTCAAATTTGAAAAACTAAAAAATCGAAAATTTGACAAAATGACAATTGAAAAACAGAAAATCTAAAACCGGGAAGTCGAAAAATCAAAAGATTAATAAGAAATCGAAACACTTGAAAAATTCGAAAACTTGAAAATTGAAATATCGAAGAACTGAACCGAAAAATCGAAAAATCTAAAATTTTGAAAATTAAAAAATCTAAAATTTAAAAATCGAAAAATTGAAAAATCGGAAAAGTAAAATAATCGACACATCGAAAAATCCAAGAGTCAAAAATCGAAAAGTTGAAGAATCGAAATATTGAAAAATCCTAAAACTGAAAAATGAAAGAAAAACTGACGAATCGAAAAACTGAAAAATCCCAAAACTGAAATATCCAAAAATTGAGAATACAAAGAATCGAAAAATTGAAAAATCGAAAAATCAAAAAAATTAAGTCGAAATATCGAATCCTTAAAAAAATCGAAAAATTGAACAATCAGAAACCTGCAAAATCATAAGATCGAAAAATTGAATAACAAGTAAACTGAAAAATCCCAAAACTGAAATGTCTAAAAACTGAGAAATTAAAAAATTGAAAAATTGAGAAATCGAAGAATCAAAAAAGTGAAGTTGAAAAATCAAACCTGAAAAAATAGAAAAATTGAAAAACCGAAAAACCAAAAAACCTGAAAAATCAATTAATTGAAAAATCGACAAATAAAGAGTTTATAAAAATCAAAAATTGAAAAATTGAAATATTTAAAAATCGTAAAATTGAAGAGAAAAACTGGAAACCGAGAAATTGAAAAATTGAGAAATTGTAAAATCCAAAAATTGAATAATAAATAGGAGTAAACTGAAAAATCCCCAAACTAAAATTTCGAAAAACTGAGAATTCGAAAGTTGAAACAGCAAGAAATTATGGTCGAAACCGGTTAGGATGTGTATCAGATGACGCATCATGGTTTATAAATCAAATCGTTTCCGAACGCTTAGAGTTGACATTGGCCTGAGTGCGCTGTGGTCTGTAGATCAAACGAGTTCTCAGACGACTAATGTCAATTTGTCGAATGTAAAACGCGTCGTTAAAAACATTATGACATTTTTTCTAGTTAATTTTATTCCTAGTTAGAAACAAACACTGTTGCCAACATAAGTCGAGGAGTCCTCACCCGTCATTTAATTTAAACTATGACGCTTCTCTATGTTCTCTGGCAACACTGCCCGCTCCTAATGCGTGAATACCTTCGGCTTACTTTCTGATTTCTGAGTAAAGATGGTGACTGAAATCCACCTTTTATTTTTTTTTTTAGGAGAATAACCATAACAACCAAGAGTTATTAATCGTTGTGCATTATTATTAATAAAACTAGCTGTTATTTTTCATTAATAAATAAACAAAAAAAATTTTAAGAGATATTTATAAATTATAAACAAAAATAAGACCAACAAAAGAAAAATCCATTTAAACATAACCAACTAAACACTAGAGAAAATGTTCAAAATTCTGATCTTGTGCATGTAAGTAAGCTCGTAATGTTTCCAAATTTTGATCTTTTTTTATAAAAGTTAGTCATCAGTACTTGCTAAGATAAAAATGATTTTGGCAAATCATGTACCCTCTAAGAAAAGAGAGGGCGAGTGGGCGGGGCTAGTACCTGCTAAGATAATACTAATTTTAGCTAATGAAATACTCTCTAAGAAACTAGAGGGTGGGTGGGCGGGGTTAGTACCTGCTAAAATAAGACCGATTTTGGCAAATGCATACACTCCAACAAAAGAGAGGGCGAGTGGGTGGGGCTAGTACCTGGTAAGATAAGACTGATTTTAGCAAATGACGTATCCTCCAAAGAAAGAGAGGGTGGTGGGAGGGGCTAGTACCTGCTAAGATAAAACTGATTTTGGCAAATGAAATACCCTCTAAGAAAAGGGAGGGTGGGTGGATCAATTTTAAAATCATTATAACTCCCTTAGGTCCCTTGGTGCTCTATTTTCGGATAAATTGAAAGGAATCTGGTGTTTTGTTGCTGAATGAACTTGAAAAAATCTGTTGAGCTTTTAGTGTTTTATTTTTTATGAATTTGAAAAAGTCTTGAGCGCCGTGTTTTTTTTAATTTGGGAGACTCTTGGGTACCCAGGGTCTATTATTTTAGGAACCCTTCGAGATTTGTTCGTAGATTCTTTAAAACAATTTTAGGGAACTTTGGTGTCCTATTTTTGGAAAACTCTGCCCTGACCTGTTTTTGACTTCATTTTGTGACCCCGTTTTTTTTTCATTTAAAAAGAATCTTCACTCTTCAGGTTCTAGGTACTCCTGTTTGGAAAGAATTTGAAAGTGCTTTGGAGCCTCTAGTGACTTTTCTTATAATAATTTAATAAAATTTCTTAGAGGATACGTCGTTTGCTAAAATCAGTCTTATCTTAGCAGGTACTAGACCCAGTCACCTGCCCACTATTTTCTTAGAGAATATGCCATTTGCCAAAATCACTCTTAACTTACTTACCCGACCCACCCGCCTCCTCTTTTCTTAGAGTGTATGTCATTTGCCAAAATCGGTCTTATTTTAGCAGGTACTAGTCCTGACCATCCTCCCTGTCTTCTCTTCGTATTTCATTTGTCAAAATAAATCTTATCTTAGCAGGTACTAGCCCCGCCCAGCCGCCCTCTCTTTTCTTAGAGGGTATCTCATTTGCCAAAATTACTCTTATCTTAGCAGGTACATTGATTAAATACATATGTATTTTATTATTTTTTTGAGACTTCCGAAACCCCCGTACATAACGTATGAAGAGTTAATCCGTCATTTTCCAGACACCCGGTATAGTTATAGTGGAAATGACTAAAGGCACCACAGTTAATCTACAAATATTTAAAAAACGTATACTGAAACTATTTTTCACATGGGTTCTGTTTTAAGAATTATTTTAAGAATGTTTGGCTTTCAGATTGATAACATCAACTACATCTTATACTAGCATCAACAAATAAGGCTTTTGATTAAAAATTATATTGATGACGGCATTTTACCACTGACAAGAAAATCCCAAATTTGTTAGTAATATGCAAATAAAGTCGATAAATATTTGTGACCTGTTCAAGCGTTGTTGTGAAAGTTTATTCAATGATAACTTTGTTCATGAGGGGGAGTAATGGATAGCTTTACTTTTTTGCCACGTGTTTATATTAAAATTACATTATACCTTAAATTGCAATATTTTATTTAATTATACAATAATTATTATTCATAAAAATATACATGGGATTTCACTTTAACTAATCAATCAAAATTAGTTCAAAACCTGAGGAAAAAGTGTATGAAAGGTCGTCAGAAAAATATTTATTTTTGAACGTCACAAATTTGACCATAGTACGATTCTGTCAGAAACGAAAAAAAAACAAATAGTTACTTTAGCTGACAAATGTTGATGGCTACGGTGAGTTTTTTAGTTCGATTTGTTACAGCTTATAGCACTTCCGATATTGTTGTTTCTAGACTGAATTTTATTACATGTCAATTTTCTTATTTTTTTTCGAATAAATCACTTAAATTGAATAATATACGTATGTAAAGTAATAAACTATTATTATCGTAATCATCTGGTAACGACAGGTTTTGTATTTTAATACAACAAAATAATGTGTGTATTATATAGGTACTTAATTGTTTTGATATAAGTAAATAATGTAAATAAACAGTTTTGTTAGTCAAAAGTATTAGTATCCAAATGTTTGCTTTAACTTTTCTAATGACATTTATCAAAATTATTTCAGTATCAATAAGCAACAATTGCTAACACTTCAGAGAAAAAACTAGTTATACCAACCCTTTAGTCAATTAAAAAATTTCGACAGTCGCTGTTACTAAGCATCACCGTGACAACAAGGTAATTGGGGTATTGGGGTTAGATAGACTGTACTCTTATTGGCAGCCAAACTCGAGTATGTTGTATCCTGTTAAAAAAATACCCACTTGAACTTATTGCATAGTTTTTATTTTTGCATAGTTACATAACATGTCCACAGTAGTGCTGAAACTTTTTTGACACCATCCCGCCTGAGAAAAGTTCCAACGCACCCGATAAAAATGCAGGAGATGCGTTCAAAGTGCAGCGAAAACGCGCAAGGACTCCAGTAATAATAAACACAAACAAAATCGTCAACAGTAGCAGGAGTTTTGCACGTCGTTATTGTGTTGTTGCGATGCTTTCACTTTCTAGCGGTACGTGTCATAATGTTAAGTTAAGTCTCATAAACGCAAAGAGATAAACAGCCCATTAGCAGTCACCCTGTATATGACGCGTCCACTGTTGCCTTGCCTCGTCTATCAGTGCAAGAATCTACACGGTGCAAATCAAAAAATCGTGTAAACAGTGCATGCATCCAGCGTTTTCAAATTTGAGCGCGACCTCCCCTTATTGTCCGCTATGGTACGTTCCAACACGATTCCATAGCGTTTCACGCGGCGTCGTTTACACTTCGGCTTCAGTCGCGTAGAATTCGTCGAAGCGCTTGGACGTGTTGTGCGCCACCGCACTTGTTTGTGAAGTTTTCCCAGTTTTTCGCAGAAATTCCCAAAAAATCACAGTGACTTCCCGTAATAGTGACATTAGATGAACTGCAACGTCGAACGCAGTCGGTTTGCGTAGCGTTTTTCCCGCCCGAATTGACAAATTAGTGCTGTGTACTCACCAGTGAGCGTGGCTTCGTCTTCGACTTGACTCGCGTATAGTTGGTTGCCTGCACAATGAGTATGAGCGTTTGCAAGGCGGAAAATATAAAAATGAACTATAAACTGGTCACCAGGAGTCCCATCGCCAAAGTTAAAAGAAGCCTCTTCGGACCGGTGGACCCGGAGGACGCGAAGACCTTCATCCAGAACCACTTGAACATCGAGTTCAAGAGGGGCTGCACCAAATGGAACTTCAACTTCCAGGACGAAACCACGCTGGACCCCAATGGGGACTACATCTGGCATTCGGCATCCCCCATTCGGGTTAACAGAAAACGCAAATCTGCAGAGGTCGTGGAGTCTTCAGCGTACTACTTTCAGCCGATCGAACCAGCCGCCCGTTCTGAGATCCAAGCTAAAACGAAGGTTCCAAAACAGACCCATATCACCGGTGAGTTAATTTGCAACAGTATTTTGCGTCATACTACTATTACAAAATGGCTATGTCAATATTTGCCGTTTTACTCGTATATCTGGTAATTTGGTGTTGTTTTATTTCGTTTATTTTTGTTCGTGGTTGGGGTGCATTGTTGCCACATTTTCGAGGATCAACGCCCTCGTAATCAAATGCACGTGCGAAAGCGTCGCTTGTTGTAAAGGCAATCCGTATCTTCAAAATTCTGGGAAAAATGTTGAACGAAAATCGACAGAGACCAACCCCATAAGTTGTAAAAAATTTTCTCCAATAGCAAGTAGTCATACACATTTGTATACTTTGTCGTATTTGACAGTCGGAACTGTAAACTTGCTCTGGAAAAGATTTATTGCAGTTTGAGTTACAATTACGTAATATTTTATGTACATTAAGCATGCTAAGTCTTGAATTGGTTCACTAGATCACAGTTGTAGGGCCTTGCTTTAAGTAACTATTGTGTTCTCAATTAATGAAGGTGATTTATATTTGGTTGCATACTCACATAAATCAAGCGATCAGTGTATACCGAAGTGTCATATTTATGTTATCGAAGTCTGAACATGCCAAAAAGCGTGTATCGTTATTTGGTTAAGTAGGCGTTGACATTTGTTGCCTTGTCCATTAAAACAAGTATTATCAGACTGTCAAATGTGATGCATATGTGTATCTATTGTTAAAAAGATGACTAAGTTTTGTATATCTTATCTCATAAAAAATAAAAAATCGAAGTGGTTGATATACTAGATACGGAACTTGGAAATTTTGGAAGGATATGAATTATGTAGAAATATATATTGAAAGGTAGTTGGATTTGGTTTTAGTTCACTAAACATGATATCCCGTACTTAGAATTTCAGTAAGCTGCCCTAATTGCAAAACAAAAACTACTTATTGTTTGAAATTTTGATATACGGTAAAAGCTAAGTCTAATGACAAATTTAATAGCATTTAATACAGTAGGAAATGTCCAGTAATGTAGACGCTATGTGTGCTTTTGTATAGATTTGTTGATAACGGATCGTTAATTAAGATTATAATTATGGTAATATTTTGTTGATAGTATTTGGAAAGCACATTTTATAACTTGTGGTAATCCCGGTTGTATAGGCAACACATATTACAACCATACATCTTTGGTTATTTACAGAGAACGTTCTGTTTTGAATTTAACGCTATTACGAAATTACAAACTAATAAAATAGTACAATTATAAACTACATTGTGCAGTAACATCGCGACAAATATTTTTATCACATGACCGCCTTCAGATAAGTTGACTAAGACACTATAAAAACTAGTCAAAATAACGTGATATGTGTTTGATCTCTTTATGTATTTATTAACACAATTTTGAAGCGCCGTCGTAAAGTGATGCCGCTTGCCTCCAGACACTTGTTTATCTCCTAAAGCACAATTTAGTAAGGAAGTACTAAGAAAACTGTCGCCAATAGCTCAGATTTTTTTGACAGCTACCTACGTGCATGCAACGTCATGTGGGTATTTAAACAATAAAGAAACTCGTTTCTTGCAACTTAAATCAAAACGCAACCTGTAATTAGACGTTAAATTAAATTAAAAAACATGACGCGATAAAGAACGATTTAATGAATGACTAATTTTATGAATCAGCGATTAATTTCATTTAATTTATGAGTTTTTGTTTTTATCGTTGCTGCACGAGCACGGTTTTCATATAACATTCGTTTTACATTGTAATTAAACTGGTGGCGGTGTCTGTGACAGGGAGAAGACGTGTTTTGGTTTTGTTGCAGTCGAAAATAACCGTTGGGAACACCCCCTTCCAATATATCATGACAGTAGAGCACCCCCGTACGTGAACCCTCGACCTCGTAATGTGTCGAACGGTTTCGAGCATCTGTCTACTACCCCCAACCAGCTGCTCGTGCTGGATCTAATTTTAAATATGTACGATGTCGCAAATTCGTTTAATGTTTTTTTTCTTGGAATCGATTGAGTACACATTATTGGAGTTTGTTTATAGTAATTATTTGTAAACATTGAACCGTGTTATCTTCTACCGTGTAGAAATGAGGATATGAGGCTTGGCTTGATTAACGGTACTACATACACACTAGGAATAATTTTTGCATCGCAATGGCAACGTCGCCTCGCATGAATAAACAAGTTGGCGCAATCGTGTCTACCTCAACATGAATGTTTTTTAAGTATGAACAATAGTTGCCTAATGAATGGTAGGTTCATGCAACTAAAATTATGCAATTAATTAAGTGTTAAACAATTTTTGCACTTTGTAGGTATTAACTTGTCAACAACTGTAATGTGCTATCAATGTATTTATAATCGATTCTGTTCAAATATCAAAGCAAATACTTTGGAAATAAACTTATCAATTCAAAATTTGTACCATTTTAGGAAAAGCCTATACAAATCAACTTGTTTATATTTTTCTAGTATTTTAATTATAATTAAGAAATGTAGGCATTGATATCCGGTACCTTTATTTTATAGATACTCAAAGCGGACAAAAGTATCAATGCTGAAAAGCAAGATCAAAAAACCAAATCAGTCTATCTCATTCATGTGAAATCTTTGAATGCTTAACGGTAACTACTTACTATTGCTCTCAGCTTGACGTAAACTGGTGTTAATGTAACCTTTAACTAATTACGTTTTGTCACTGGGTGTTTACATTCATGTTTCACTTTTGAGACTGATAAAACGATGTGATGACTTAGATTTCAGAGCCAACTCTAATTCGTTTTATTCTCTATTGGACACGGTATAATACTAGTCTAATAAATTTATGTTTGCTAGAAAAGTTCAAATCCCCTGTCTCTGCAAAAATTATTAAGTTTGATTAGGGAACTTTATTTGTAATAATTTCTCTACATTAAAATAAATATAGATAAAACCAGCAACACGGTAAGAAACTAAATTGTATATTTTTCGACACCATATAAATGCGTTGTTCTGAATTCATTAATGTATCATAGTTTAAACACCCATACTACGCCACTGCCTTTGATTCAAACGCTAATGCATTCGAATTAAAGGAAACACTCTGTTAACTTGTTTCCACTTCACACCTGACTGACCGACACTCCTGCAGTTCGTACCCTAAAGTCGAAAGTACACCTAGCGGCTATTATGAAGAGAACTACTGAAGCCGAAGATTGGGGATTTCTTTTGGCGTCGTCCTCACTGGGTAATGTTTTCTCATCGGCACTGAGAACACTGCCATAGATCGTATTGGCGCCCAATGCGAGTACCATCGATAACGAGTCAAAAACAAGAAAAGAATTAATTTTTCAGATTTTGGAAAGAGATCCTTGTTGGTCGACGAGATTGATTACGAGCGAAGACTTAGAGGCGTAAGCGGACACCAATGACAAACGAACAAGGTTGCAAAGAGCATTTGATAAAGATCTTAATCGAGCGCGAGAATTTATTTTATCGTATCAGGATCCGACTTGTAACTTATGAACGCGAAGTAGCGTTTATAAATGCTACATGAACAGGATCTAACAGTTGTTGCCAGATTTAGATGACTGTCAACAGGATCCTTTGTTTAACGTTGGGTATTCGGATCAAAATTTCCAAGACAAACTTGAAACGGAACTAACAACCCGAAAAAATAAAATCGTGGGAAACCGAAAAAGTGTCACTTGCAACCTGAAGCTGTCTCCAGTGCAAAATTAGTACCATTTTACACATGGGCTTTGTCTTTTGATGGTGAAGGTAAATGGAAAATGTATACCACGATGAGCTGGTTCTTGCCTTCTGACTATGCGGATTTATTTTGAAATCACATAAAAAATCGTCTTTCGGGAAAAGGGAAAAGCAGTACTATCGATGTACCGGCTATAAACTTTTATTTCGTTTGATCCGCACTTTTGCCGAAAATAAACAAGAGTAGTAGTAGTTTGCATTCTCTCTTATCGGCTGAGCTTCAACAATAAGCTTTCTATAGAATACGGTTTATAGGATTTATCTAAATGCAAATAAAATCTTTTAACGGACTACCTGCAAAAAAGGCGGGAATATTAAAATGTATAGTTTGACCGAAGCAAGACAGCATGACTGCTAATAAGTGTTGAATATAATGTGACTCTAAATTCCAAAAAATGGTCAATGTTTTCATGAAGCAAATCAGTAATCAAATTGGCGCAAATTTTTCTAAAATTCGGCCTTCACTTCTCTTTGTTTATACTGTATACCTGTACATTTTGCATTGGAAAATTTCAATGTGTTTCTGTTTTCGTGATGGGGAGCTTCAAGATAATTTCTAAAATTAGTGGTAAGGATATAATATAGTATAGCATATAATAATAATCAATGTCGTAATGTAACTACAAGTGGATAAAAAGTAGTGCAAAAGATAGGAGTAGGTCAGATTTTAACGCAAGGACAATCTAAGCTAATCAACGAAAGCCAAGTGAAAAACAACACCATGGAAACCAATGTTTACCATTTCAAACATTGTTGTAGTAACCGTATTGAGTGTCAGTTTAAAAAATGTATATTCCATCTTTTGATAATACTATTTTTATTTATTGTTATAATTTAGACATCGTTAGCATCTCATTATGGCTTTCACTAATTAAACCAAGAATTTACACTTCTAATAGTGAGAAATTCGTGTTAAAAGTAATGATGTTTGTAAATAAATCTTGTTTTATATGTCAATATATTGTAAGGCGCTCCACAGGGTCTTCATCGTGTACCTGATTCTTTTTCTCTGTTCATGAACGATATTGCTTCAAATTCTAAGACGAAATCATTCGTATCGATAAGATTGATAATATGCCTATTTTTGTTTTTGAGATTACCTACTAGATGGCGCTGCGTTTGTTCTGCAGACATTAGCGTGGATGTTTCTGTTGGCTATTAAGCCAAAAACCTGAATAAGTGACCTGTTTAGCCGCGCCGACAAAGAACAAAAGATGTAATCAAGAAATTTGAAGGCCTACTGCCTATTGCCTATTTGAATAAAG